CTGGGTGTTACAACCAATTAAAGAGGAAGCTGTCGGTTATGATTAGAGCACTGCTGGGAAGGAGGGAGAGCAGGGGCCTTTCATTAAGGAGCGCAGGGAGAGGAGGGGGAGTGTGTGAGGGTGTGTTGTGTGTGTGCGTGTGTAGTGGATTGAGAGGGCCGGTTCACAGTGTTCCCTGTCACCCGTCTCTCACACAGGCTGTGGTTTAGCACAAACCGTTCTCCTGCGGTTCCTAAGAGCCACCTGCTGCCTTCAGAGCGCCACGCTGACTTCCTGTGGCAGGGACCTCCCAGAAACCAGCCTGTGCCACCCCGCTCTCCCCTGTCCTGTCGCCTCTGTGCTCTCCCTTTCAGCTCGGGTTCCAGAGCGCGCTTTGACACAATCCTGCCGCATTAAAATGACCACCCTCAGACAAAAACAACAACAACTGTGGATTGGTTCGGTTTCCACATAACTCTTCTGTGCTTGTACAAACCCTGTGTGATACACAAGCCCCTGCCATCGAAAAACTGCAGTGTTTGAGTGCTCCCTGTCGTGCTGGGTGTTAGGTAAGCATGCAGGTACTGTACACGTTCCTACATCCAGACTGTTACAGTCTCACTGTGAAAACTGCACATACGACGATAAGGGAAGAGCAAACGCGTTTAGGGGGTTATGTGGCTCTTGCTTTTTTTAAGGATGATTAACTGTTCACTGTGTTGCTCAACCTGTCGCGTTGTTCGGCTGCTCAAGTCTCGTTTCTCAGTGATGTATTCGGTCATAGAGAAAGGCGAGGAACGCAGCGCAGAGCGTCCTTTCCTGCGAGGCTCAGCTGTCCTCCAGCATCCCCCTTCGGCATCAGACATGCAGATCACAGGAGATCAGACCCTGACGCGCGGAATAGTTCCTGTCAGCAGCGTGAAAGTCTGAAGATCCAACTGTTCGTTTCCCTTCCCTCGGAAATGATCTCCGTGTTGGTAAAATACCCTTAGCATCACCCCTCTTTGGATTTAAGGACTGGATTTAAAAGAAGAAGTACAATCAAGCTATGAAAAACAAATGCGTCCGTGAATTCAAGATTATTTGTCCTGGTACGTGCAATGCACGCTTCACTGTACCTTCACTGAGCTTTTAATGCGTCTTTTTCTTCCTCGCATCGCAGCAGCGCGTCGTTAAACTTTCCGTGCGGCTGGAATGTGAAAAGAGCCCCTTAATCGTCGCTGCTGCTACATCTGGACGGTCTAATGAAGGGCCCAGGTGTGCTGGTCGGAGCGGGTGTGATCGGGGAGGACAATGGCCTGGTGGCAGAGGGGCAGCGGAGTGCACTGAGCTGTGAAAGGGGCTCGGCGAGAGGGCGAGAGCAGGACTAATTGGGACTAATTGAATTGGAAGTGCTGATCAGATAGGGCTGTGGAAGTAATCGGAAGTGTCACACTGGATAAAGAGTGTCTGCTTCATGTGGGAGGACTGTAATGTAGCCTGTGAGACGGCACTAGCTTCCCTGTGAAAACGGCGAAACGGGGGATCGGGGTTAGGGGGCGGAGGGCTGTCTCGGCGGAGTCACAAAGCCCCGCTAAACCTTTTCCTCCGTCCGTTTCCGAAGAACGAAAATGAAACAGAAACGTGCGCACGGCGGCACAGGCGACGCGGAAGCGGGGTTTGTGGACACGCAGGCCGTGTCTCCCCTGAGCGGAAGCCAGGCTGGTCTCCCGGTCCCGGCCCGGCCAGGCCCGGCCCGGCCCGCTTCAGCAACCTCCCTGCGCCTGCGGGCCGGGTGTCCAGCTCGCTCAGAGGAGACCGTTACACCGCGGAAAGCCAGGGACCGAGACGGATAGGGTTCGCAGACGTCTGCTCTTTTAATGTCCAGGTCTTAGGGCTGGCAGAGGGTGGCAGGACACCGCCGAGGCACCTCACGCAGGAGCCCCAAAACACAAGCGCAACAGCGCCGTAAACACGAACAAACGCCGTGAGCGATATGACAGACACCCTGACAGACTCCAAAAAACACCAGTACTGTACACATTAAAGCAGCGGGATTTTCCCCAAACTCCCCTCAGGACCAGGCAACACCACAGATGCTACCTGTGGGGGAAAGCTACCCAGAAAGCCAGGGTATGTGATCCTGAAATTGACATTTTTTCTAGCTTTTTTCTTTGCGTGTCACAGCCTGCTGTGATCGGTGCTATTTGCTCCCTCCTCCTGCACCACTGCCCGCCAGACGCCTGGGCCGTTTGCCTCAGCACAGCCCACGCCATTGGCCGTTCCTGTACCGGAGGATCATGGGACTGTCTTGCGTCAGTCCCGGGGTTTGGCACTGAGTGAGCGCAGGTGTCTGGGGCTGAGGGGGGGGGCTCAGTCGAGTCAAACAGCAGATCTCTGTTCGTCCGGGTCCTCCTGGGACACAGCACACAGGAACCGCGGAGCCCCAGGGAGGGAGAGCACTGGAAAATACACATCCGGGGGAAAGAACTTCGGGACAGGGGTGTTGGGAAAAGGCAGAGGAGCATGTGCCAGCCCCACATGTGTGTCCTCTCTGTCTCTGTCCCCCCGGCCCGCTGGCCTCGCAGCCTTTTCTTTCTGAGGGGAAAAAACCGAAAAATCCAGCCTTCCTAATTCAAGCCCAATTAGAGGCGCTACACTTCAGCCCAGCACCTCCCCCCCCCGCTCCTGCTGGTCGGGTCGGGCCGGGGAGGGGGCTGTGCTCGCTCAGAGGGCCCCGCAGATGTGTCAGCGCCGGGCCCGGGCCTGCCAAGCCCTGCTGGGCGGGTCGCGACCTTTACAGAATTGGTGCTTCTGCGTGTCAGAACTGATGGAGGTCAGGCCTCGCGAGGGGCTCTGCGGGGCCGGAGGTCACCGCGAGGCTCACACAGCTGTCCCAGGGCGAGGACGGGCGCAGGGGGAGCCCGCTGCCCTCTGGGGGCGGGGGCTGGAGCAGCTCACCCGAAGCTGAACCGAAAGCTGGGGCTGAGCTCTGCTCTGCCTCCCCCTGGCCTGGCAGGGCGAGGAGTTAAACCACCACCTTTCTCGTCGGGCCTGTTCGCAGTCTTTACATCCCGTATAGAGCTGCGATTAAGTCCTGCGTATCGCAGCAGGAGGATCTATTTGTCCCTTATCTGAAGCAGGATGGTTTTACACTGCTCTAAATCAGTCCTGTTTAGCACTGCACTTTAGTGCAATGGCTAATCGTTATTTTAGCATAAAGGCAGCCTCAGTCCTGCCTCGCGGCTACAGCCTTGCTCCATTATATCAGTGGGTTAATACGACACAGGGGCTATTCAGATTACACTTCCTTTCTGACTGTCAGGGCGGGGCCGATGCCAGCAGTCTCCCAGGTGAGCTGTCCTGTGAGCTGCAGTGAACTGTTGTGAGCTTGTGCAGGGAAGCTACAGCTTTCTCTCCTCTTGGGATCTCCGCACAGAGGCAACGGCACTCCTGCACAGCGGAGAGGGATAGAAAGAGCAGATTGCCCTTGTCTGTGCTTGGAGCTTTGGGGAATGTGGTATTTATAGAGATCGGTACAATCCATGTTGCCTTTACGTGTGTGCAGTGTGAAGGAGATTGTGGAAAGGAAAAGGGAAAGGACTTTGATAAGACACCAAAATATTATGCTGGACATAAATGAGATTGTACCTCATGTTAATGGAGTTACAGCCATTCATCCAGTTTCTAACTGCTTCATCCAATTGAGAGTCGTGGCAAGCAGTGGGCACAAGGCGAGTACACCCTGGACAGGATGCCAGTCCATCACAGGAGACACAAACACAGACACACACACTCACACTAGGGCCAGTTTTCCCAGAAGACAATTGACCTACCAGTATGTTTTTGGACTGTAAAGACAGACCTTATACTCTGTGTCTGTCCATTACTGTTATTGCTTGTTCAAAGAATTCTAACACGTTAATCAAGACCTCTCTTGATTTAGATACCTAGTTTCACACAGGAGATATGTTAGTTTTAATTAATGCTTCTGTAACTTCACATGCAGTAGAAGCAAGACTTATCGCTCTGTACTATAAATACTAGGTTCTCTTTCGTCACCCTTTTTATGGGATAACCCTTTTTTAGCTGTGTTATAGTCAAGCGGAAGAGTTTTGCTATCAGTCTGTGAATAACATCTTTTTGTCTCTTCAGTACACTTGCTAGAATACTGTCAAGTCTTTAGCTTAAGTGTTCTAATACCCACTGTGTAATACTTCTGCCTGTTCTCTGCCAGTGCCATGCAATTCAGAACTGTGCCTTCGCTCAACCTGAGACGTGTCTACAGTGCCATAAGAAATGACTCTTATTGCTGCTTATGTAGCCTGTGGCTGGGCACTGGATTTCAATAGCCTCCTCATGCATGTCTGGATGCTGCACATTGGTGGTGGTGGAGGGGAGTCCCCATTATCTGAAAAGTGTTTTGAGTAGAGTGCCCAGAAAAGAGCTATATAAGTGTAAGCAATTATTGTTTTTATTATGTCAACCAGCTCCTGATCCAAACAGCCCAAGCAAGCATAAAACCCACTACGCAGAAAGGCCAGCCCCTTGCCACGTGGTGATTAAAGTCCTCTGAGACTCCTGGACCCTGGGCAGTCCATCCCAATGGGGGTTTTACATTTGCTTGGCTTCATACCTCTGCAGTGACCTTCCCAGACAGAGAGCACACAAGCATTCAAAATGCTCAGAGGCACTGCTAAAGCCAGACCAGGTGGATTTCTTCAGAATCAACAGTGAGACACCTCTGAAACACAGAGGGCACAAGAGGAAACCATATAGAAGCTAAGAGACAGATGGATGAGATCCTCAACTCAATTAATTCCTAGCTACCAGACAGGCTAGATGGGCAGAATGGCTCCTGTTTGTTACTTCATCTTTATGGTTCATCTACGTGACTTCCAGTACAGGACACCTGATTCTGCTCTCTGCATCAGTCTGAGAGTACAGGGCAATGATGGTGCTCTGATGACCTCGCTAATAAAATGGTGCAGTTCTTTTGCCTGTCTGCAAGCAGTTCCTCACCTACCCAATGTCCCCTTCAGCCTACAGGACGGTGTGTGGCGTCAACGGGCCCCTCGTGGTTCTGGACAATGTGAAGGTAAGCTGATTGTTGTAGGTGCTGCTGATCCCAGTGCTGCCTGTATTGCGATACAGAATGAGACCCACTCGTTGACCTCAGGTCTGTTTCAGCTCTTCTGGAACTGGGTCCCTACATGTGTGACTGAACCCGCTGGTGCTGGTGTGGGTTCCTTCATTCAGGAACAGGTCTCTGAATGGAGTTTGTTAGTGTTATCCATGAGATCATCACAATGCATCACAATACAGTGCGGTAAAACCTGGACTTCAGACCTGCTGTTTGGCCGTCACTCACAGAAGGGCAGCTAAGTGGCCGGTACGCCAGGCCCTCGTGCTGGACATTACAGTGTCTCTAGCGCCTCTGCATGGAAGAGGTTTAAGGGTGGACAGGCTGCTCGTCAGAGCCTGAAGGATAGAAGTAGAGGTCATCAACCTGTAGACTGACCTGGTCACCAAAGTGTTATGTCTGTCCTGGCTCTGACCCCCTCAGCTGTTTCAGCAGGAGGCCAGGGCTCAGAAGAAGAGCCCCTCGGGGATCACTCGGACGCTGTGCTGCCCAGAGCCCTGGACAGGGCAGGGGGCTGTGTCTCTCTCACTGTATCTCTTCTGCCCCAGCTGACGCTCTTGAAGTCAAGAGCTCGCTAACCCGGCCCAGGTTACACCACTGAACCCTCAACTGACTTCATCATACGATTCATCTGAACTGTTTGACTGCGTTCAGCTCCTTGGCATGTTGGGGGGTCGCCTTTTAACTGCTGCATTTCACATGTCACATGAAGTTCCCCAGCTTCTGCGAAGGAGCACAACATTTGCAAATATTTCCATCAAGATCTGGTTTAGCTCAATGAAGGCTTCAATCAGGTTATTAGTCAGCAGGTGTGTAATCAGCAGAGTGAAGGTATGCTGGCTCAGAGGGGGGAGAGACTGCACTGCGGAGAAGAGGGTTTCTCTTCAGAATTTACAAACTAAATAATGCTTTTTCACAATACAAATTATTGCTGGGCAATAACAAAAAATCTAGCAAAGATATGTGTTTTTTAACATCAGTGTGTTTTGTTTCTTTCTGCTGAAAGGTGAGTACACAGTGCTTTTGTGGGGTGCAGACTGAAGAGTAAGATAGGCAGTTGATTATGTTGTTTACAAATGATTAAATTGCATTATTCATCATGGTAAAATAAAAAACAGCCGCTAAGAGCCTGGGCTGCCCTGCACCAACAGGTTGGTGAGGAGGAATGCAGCCCCACCTAGAGGCCACAAGAGAGACGAGCACCTAGAGATCTCCCGTGCTGCAGGGCTTTCATTCATATTGGAATCATTAACTGGAATATACCCTCTCTTATTTGCTCCTGTCCAGTGCAGTGATCTTATTTATAGTTTCAGGCTGGAATCACCTCTGGTTTTTGCTCTGTACAGTGTTTCTGTAGCTGATTTGTATTCACTATGCGTTTTGTGCTCCTTGGTCCTAATGAACATGAAGAAGTCTGTTTGTTGCATTCAGTATCAGACGTTGAGGTGAATCTTCATGCTTATAAGTGACTTATGCTGGTAGCCCTGCACTGGACCATGTTGTACCCAAGTTGCAGTCTACCAGTATGAATGCTGTTGTCTTTTCCAGTTTGCCCAGTTTGCAGAAATTGTGCACTTCACCCTGCCAGATGGCACCATCAGGAGTGGGCAGGTCCTGGAGGTTGTGGGGACCAAGGCCATCATACAGGTAAGGACACCAAAGAGCCTAACAAAGACATGCTCGTTAAATCAGAGAATGGAGCCCCCTTCTCTCGTCATGAGTTGGTACCAAGCGTTCTTCTGTGAAAGAAGAGAAACAAATTCCAGACATTATAAAGTCACACAAGGGTGTTAACTGTGCAAGGACATTGTCTTTCTTTGGTATCTGAAAGTTGTATGAGGCGCTGCCCTGATCTGTGGTGCTGAAAGGCAGGTGTACATTAACAGAGCTGAGTGTGTCCCCTGTGCGCCTTGATTTGGTCACTGGTGTTAGTGAGACTGTTTGCCTTCCTCCTTCAGACAGGGAGCGTGTCTAAGCTATTGCTATTGCTATTGCCTTTGTGCTATTTTGGCTATTTTGACTCGTTTCTTCCCTTTTCTCTTATCTTCAGTGATTCTTAGGAGCTCTAGAGATCTAGATACAGTAACTGTGTTTACTGTTTGATCCCTTACAGGGAAACTAACAGTAAACTCTACTGGCACCCAGAGACACAGGATATTCATTTGAGAAGACTGGCAGCAGACCTCCGAAGTTACTACTGTAACTACACTGTTACTACACTGTAACAGCTTATTACAGATGTGGTCACCTCGACTCAACAGAGCTTTAGTAGAATTTGCAACAGACAGGCAGTAATTTATCAATTAAACAATTTGGTACACTGTGTTTTTTTTTTAAATGCAAGAATTGAGTTTCCCTCTGTGAATTCCTTGTACAAGTGTGTCTGTGTGACTCCAGTCCTAAAGATAGCTGTGTTGAATGTTCTTGTTATAAATACTGTGTAGAAAATACCACCAGTGATTGTTTGCGTCAGATTTTAAATTTATTCTTTGATCCTGTTTATCCATTGCATCCTGATTGTTAGTCTGTTTAAATTCTACCATCTTTGTATGATAGGTTTAGAGATCATTTATAGAATACATTGTAGAACCTTGATTAAAATCTGCTCTTATTAATCTATATTTCTTTAAATGAAGACCATCAGTCATAATAATAATGAAGGCAAGGAGCAATTCTTGAAGATTCATCAACATTATTAGAAGTCCAAAAGCAGGCAGTATTTTCCAGGTGCTGGAGTATCCTCCTGTCACGTAGTGTTTCAGGTGAGCGAGTGTGGGGGGAGTGTGGTCAGATCTGCCTCCCTATTCAGCAGGTGCACCCCAGCAGAGCTGGCCTGGCTCTGTGAGAAAGGTCTTCGGTCGGGCCCCTAACCAGTCTTGTGCTTGGAGATCCGGGCACTCCTGTTCTTTGTCCTCTGTCTCGTCTGCCCCTCAGCACCTTAGGGACCTGGAGCTGTGGCCTCCTGTCTGATCCAGCTCAGGACAGATCAGAGGAACCAGAATCTTTTTTTCTTTTATGCTTAAGTCTCGAACATGGCCTGTTATTTTGTTTCAGAGCAGTTTACATTAACACAACTTGTTAATATTTGCAACCTGACGTAGTTAACTTCTAACCTCAAGGAAAGTGCGATTCCAAACTTTAGGAGTCCTGCAGATACCATCTCAGGGTGCTGAGGCTTTACATTGAAGCAAATGTCATGGTTCGTATGAAGTTAAAGGCAATGAAAATGAAATGAAAAATCATTTCAATGAATTCGGTTAATGCAAGTGTGTTAAAAGAATTGAAAAGTGAAACTCCTAGGTTTAGCATGCAGACATACAGAGCAACATGCCGTAGTTACGAATGGCACAGTGGGGGGAAAGGATGCAGGAGTCAGAAGGAGAGGAGGAGAGAGGGCTGGTGGGATTGGAGCTGGATGCCTGTTCCAGAGTGAGCCCCTCCTGACTGCAGGGGAGCGAATGTCTCAGATCCCTCAGAGCAGCGGATGTGCTGTCTGCACGTGAAAGCTGTAGAGCATTGTTTGACTCGTGCTCATGGAAATCAAGTAATCAAGTCTCAAACATTCAGCGACAGAAATGGATGGTGATGGCCTTGCGCAAGCGTTGTGTCCATATTGCCTGTGCAAAGCAGAGTGTTTTTCATGTGGGAATATTTAAACACTGACAGTCGGCAGTGAATGGCAGCTGGCCCCCATGTACAGTAACGTGACGCCAGAGGCCTATTAACCCACAGTAATAGTTCCGTGAAGCTGCTGTTGTCTCAGGGCGACTGTGTGGACACAGTGACAGCACTGCTGTCATTTTCCAATTCTGTTTCTGGAGGAGAGGCAGAGGGTTCTTCACGTTTTGAAGTCATCACCTGCTTTGAGCCAGGATAATATTTTAAAATGGCTCAATAGTGAGTTGTCTAATCTTATCTAGTGCTCCGTCTGACAAAATAAAACAGGTTTGTGGTTTGTGAGCTCCACGTAGTCCTCCACGTCAGACCTGCTGGAATAGATTTCAGCTCAGATCCCAACAGACATTTCGCATCATCTCTTAATGAGCTAATATATTAAGGGCTATGGTGCCCTTAATCTGCTAATTGTCTAACTGTCTAATCTGCTAACGAAAACGTGTCATTTGTTTATTTCTGGAGAATGGCTCCACTGCGAACACAATTATTCTAAAGAAAGATAGAAGCTCTTATTAAGCAAAACGCGAGTTTGATTATGGTTTGTCTTGTTCAAAGGTTTTTTTTATTAAAACCAGATTTACAGAGCACGTTGAAGCATTTGGTCTTTCTGAACAAGACAAACAGAACACGTAACGCGATTTTCAAATGTTCCGCTTCCTTGAGCCAGAGATCTGTGAATATTACATTTCCAGACAGAGCCCGATTCAAGGCGGACTTGCCCTGAACGCCGAAGAGATCTCCACAGCCGCTTAGACATGCGACATGCGCTCTTGATAAATGACATCGGGCCTCTGGGCTTTTATTCACTTTCTTTAGTTTCGATTTATTTTTAACTCGCTGTCTTTTTAATTTTCTGTGTGGTGAGTGGCCTTCCAGCTTGGGCTTTCCAAATCTAAATAACATTTCTGTCCTCTTTTATAAGCCAAAATATTTTTAAACAGAATTTTCATCTTACAATGAAACATTCAGATGTTTCACACAAACATTATTATTATTATAGGCCGTTTACTCCTGGTGAGGATCGCGGTATTATTGTCTCCTGTTATGTTTAATTAATTTTATGTATTAAATATATCTAATAGTTAAATTTTACTTCAGTTTAAACAAGGCCACTCCCTGAAATTGGTAGTCTACCAATACAAGGTAATAAACAATTTCAAAATTCTGCAGTTTACATTAGAGTTCAGGAATAGTATCGAACTGATACTAAACAGTCTGTAATCATCAAAACTAATATGGCATAATATTAATTCACTTGCTAATCTCTAATACGCGATATCAAATGCCAAACACCGTATGACGCCTGAGAGAGTTAAAACACGGTTCTAACTAGCAGGCTGTTAACAAGTTTTCTTACCGTCATTTTTCCAAATCAAAATGTGTCCTTTTTCTCCACATTTTACACGCCTAATTTAGACTAAACAGCCGAAGCGACAAACTTAACGAAAGTTTTGTCTGTTGATGTTTTTCAAAAGCCGGCTCTGCCCGGGTTAATTCACGATTGGAGTACAGTACATTGTATAGGCCGGGGTAAACGAATTAGTAAAACATTTCTGTTTGCATGAAATTTACACACACAAAAATTACAAATCGATTAAAAATTAATGTTGGTGTTAAATACACAATTCTGTTCTTGCTATTAAAAAACGTTAATATATTTATGTAATTGTTTTGTGTTAGTGACATCAATTTGCGATTTTACACTTTCCTTGTTTTACAGTATTTAATTTTTCAAAATTTCACTTTAATTTTTCAGTATTCATTCAAGTCTGGATAATATTT